TTTGTTTTCCCAGCTGCGTGTAGTGGCTCACACCTGTAATCCCAACACTTTGGGAGGCCAAGGTGAGAAGATTGCTTCAATCCGGGAGTTCAAGACCAGCCTAGGCAACATGGCAAGACCATGTTTCTGCAAAAAATAAAAAGAATTAGCTAGGCCTGGTGACACGTGTCGGAGCGACTCAGGATCTGAGGTGGAAGGATCTCCTGAGCCCAGGAGGTCAAGGCTGTAGTGAGCTATGATGGTGCCACTGTACTGCAGCCTGGGCGGTATACAGTGAGATTCCAACTGAAAAAAAAAAACTCCTTCCCTGTTTCTTAAAAAGGGGGTATACTGGGGAAAAATCAACGTTTAAAAATAATAATAGTAAAAATGAACATTTATTGAATTTATTGTATCCTGATCAGTCAGGGTCATAATTAAAATAATTATTATTATAAGATACAATGTTTTTTTGTTGTTCATTTCTTTGATCAGAATTTGAGCTGTTGTTTCTTCAACATACCATGTGTTTTTGAAACCTACAATGAAACAAAAACTAGTAACAAAGTTTGTAGGAACTGTATGTTAACAAATTCACCAAGTCTGAGTGAGAGTTTATGAAGTCAAGTGTAAAAGAAGTTTGTGATGGCTACTACAAAATTCTTGTGCTTGAAGAATTTTTCTCATGTTTCAGTTTCCAAGAGATCTCCCCAAAACAAACAACTATATTTGCTATTATATAGGCAATTAATTAAATAATGCCTCCTGTGGACCCAAAACACACTATTGTATTTACTAATTGTTTTTTTTACATATGTGGCTTTTATTATTATTTAAATATAAATAACAGCGATCCTTCCATCTCAGCCTTCCAAGTAACTAGAACTACAGATGCACACTACCATGCCCAGCTAATTTTTGATTTATTGTAGAGATTAGGTCTTGCCAAGTTTCCTGGATTGATCTCGAACCCACAGACTCAGGCAATCCACTTGCCTCGGTACCCAAAGTGCTGGAATTACCGGCTGAGCCACCAAGCCCGGCAGGTCAAGGCTGCCATGGCTGGGAGCATGCCACTGCACTCCAGTCTGGGAGACAGAGTGAGACTCCAACTCAAAATAAATAAATAAATAAACAAACAAACAAAAATAACATAGGATCAGAACTACAGCTTGTAGAATCTTTAGCTGTTGATTTGTTGAAATGACAGATAAGGCACTGACCCAAGTAATCAGCAGTACTGAATATAAGGAAATTATTTTCCACTTCACACTTTTAGAAATTAATATCATTGACATTAATACCAGAAGAGATGAACTCCATCTTCCTAACCAAGAAAAAAAAAAAACTACACATTTGCCAATGTTTTCATTTCCCCAACTCTTTATAACTCCTGAGACTGATTTTTCCTGTCTTATCCTATCACATAATGTATTCAACAACATGAATGGGTCCTCACGAGGGCTGAGGGAAAGTGATTACAACGTGGCCTGTGATTTCTTCTAGCTTCTTATATGCCTTTTAATCTATTCTCAAATATTTCTTTGGTGTTTCCTATATTCTAGGCACCAGTGACCAAGCAGGGATCACGAAAGATATAGTTCCTGCCACCTCAATACGTACTTTCCTCTTCGTCATCCCACACCTTCAAGGTCAACACTCAGGTTAAACCCAGTTCTCTGCCTAACACACATCTTGCATTCTTTCATACTTTAGTATTCAGTCTGTTTATTTCTACTCTTTTTTAGCCAAGATATAATAAGGGATGATGATCACCATCAATGACACCCTACCTTCCTTCGCTGACTGGACTAGACATGCTGCAAATCTGGGACAGAGAAAGGAGCAAAAACTGGCTATCGACACTTATCTATTATGCAAAAAAATTAGCATAATACTGGCAAAATTGCTGTAGCTTGATTCAAAATGTACTGTTCAGCTGTATGGGGCAAAGTTAGAGTGAGCAGTTTCATCGAGAATTTGCACAACTCTAGGCTTTTGAAGTTGCAGATTATCTGGGTAATGACAGAAAGAGAACTGACAACTGGTAGATGTCCCACCTCCCCTTTTAAGTATCCTTAAGTATTCCTACTAAGTATCCCTTTAAATAATAATGTGGTAAACAAGCTTGGATTGCTTCCCTGACACAGACTGTCCATGCCAGTATTAAAAAAAAAAAAGAGGAAGCTGGTGGCACACACCTGTGACCTCAGCATTTTGGAAGGCCAAGCTGGGAGGATTGCTTGAGCCCAGGAGTTCAAAATCAGCTTGGGCAACACAGCGAGATCCCATCTCTACAAAAAAATTTTTAAAACTTAGCTGCGTCTGGTGGCATGCACCTATAGTGCCAGGTACTCAGGAGACTTAGACAGAAGGATCACCTGAGCTGAGGAGGTTGAGGCTGCGGTGAGCTATGGTCATGCCACTACACTCCATCCTGGATGACAGAGTGAGACCCTGACTCAAGAAACAATATTTAAAAAAAAAAATTACCTCTAACATCCCCTCCTAGCCCCACAAATTTGTAAAAACTTCCTTCACTCTTGTGTTCCCTAATTTCTGGAAGTAGACTTCTTTATTGAAACATGGTTGGGCAATGTCTTGCACTTAGTTTATGCCCAATAAATCTGATTTGGTTTTTGACCATTAACAATAGCAGAGAGGTGGTGGATGAGGATGTGGGAGAGGACAAACATTCTTATTTTTATGTGTCTGACTTTTTCCTTGGAAATAAATCTATATATAATTTATATTATATTTAACCAGGAAAATACTAAATTCATACAAAACAATATTAAACTGTAAAAAATACTCAAGAAAATAACACTATCTCAAAATTATCTCAAAAAATAAGAATTGCAAGAAGTACTAATTTTATTTGCAAACAGTTATCTTTAGGTCCAACACTTTCTTTACGGTATTAATAACTTAATGATTAAATATTATCAGCTGTGCATTTATTTTTCTGTTGAAAAATTTCAGCCTTAAATAAAATTAAATAAACTAGTGTAAACCCATCAAAAAGAGTGAATAATTATACATTTTGGCATTCTACTTTTTTTTTTTTTTTTTGAGTTGGAGTCTCACTCTGCCACCCCCACTGGTGGGCTCGACCTGCTGGGCTCCTTCCAAGGAGCTGGAACTACAGGCGCACCCTACCACGCCCAGCTGATTTTTTGATTTATTGTAGAGATGAGGACTTGCCAAGTTGCCCAGGCGAGTCTCGAATCCGTGGGCTCAGGCAATTCACTCACCTCGGCCTCCCAAGGCACGGGATTACAGGCTGAGCCACCGAGCCCGGCAATTTTGGCATTCTTATTTAGCTGTTTTAATTTAATTTAATTTTATTTTATTTCTGAATCGGAGTCTCACTCTGTCGGCCAGGCTGGAGTACAGTGGCTCAATCACGGCCACTGCAGCCTTGACCTGCTGGGCTCAAGCAATTCTTCCACCTCAGCCTTCCAAGTAGCTGGAACCACAGGTGTGCACACCACACCCGGCTAATTTTTTGACTTATTGTAGAGATGAGGTCTCACCATGTTGCTCAGGCTGGTCTAGAACCCCTGAGCTCAGGCAATCCTCTAGTGTCTGTGCTGGTCTAGAGCTGTGATTACAGGAATAATCCTCTAGTCTAGTTGTTGAGATTACAGGAGTGAGCCACTATGCCCGGCCTATTTAGCTGTTTTAAAAAATACGATCTTAGCAGCTGATGGTTATTGGGTTTATTTGTGCTTTTATCATCATTAACAAACATTTTTAATAGTGAATAATGGTTTTCAATGCCAAATTTTCATTTGGTGGTAAATGTTTAATTAACATTATTAAAAGTAATGATCTCAGTATAGATAAACTCCCATAAAAAAACTTCAAGGAGAACTATACTTTTTTGTTTTTCTGTACAGTGAATATTGCTTTAAATAAGGTGACTTTCAAGAACATGAAGACATTTAAGTTGCATGAAGCTTTTCATCATAATAAGTTCTAACACTTTCTTGTGAATACATGATGCACCAAACATTGCACTAAGAGTTTTACATACCGTCAGGCACAGAAGCCTACACCTGTAATCTCATCAATTTGGGTGGCTGAGGCAGGAGGATTGCTTGAGCCCAGGAGTTTGAGACCAGCTTGGGCGACATAGTGAGTCCCTGTGTTTACAAAAACTTAAAAAAATCAATAGGGCGTGCTGGTACATGCCTGAAGTCCCAACTATTTGGGAGGCTGAGATGGGAGGATCACTTGAGGCCAAGAGGTTGAGGCTACAGTGCACTGGGATCACCCCACTGTACTCCAGCCTGGGTGACAAAGTGCGATCCTACCTCAAAACCAAAAAGAAAAAAAAAGAGAGAGATTTGTATGCACCCACTCTTCAAACAATCCTACAGTGTACTTATTATCCCTATTTTACAGATAAGGATTCTGGAGCTGTGATAGATTAACCCAATTAACCATTCAGAGTCACCCAACAAATATTAGGCAGAATCATACTTGCTAAAATTGTATTTGATTTCTATAAGTGATGTTTTAGAAAATTAAGAAATATTTTATCTTTACCATGAACAGGCATTCAGTGGCATAATAAATATAATATTATACAGTCATTGTCCAAATTAAATAACTTCTGCATAAACAGACAAAAGGACAGATTCCTGAAGGGGGACACAGTAATGATCAGGGAAAATAATAAGTCGACCCAGTTTTCCAGGATCAATAGGAAAGAAGCAAGGTAGCCTCTCAATTAAAAAAATATCTGAGGGGCACACCTCATCTACAAGGGTACCTGCATAATGAACATTTATATACCTAACCCTGAATTGTACCCCACATATTTAAAATTAAAAAAATTTTTTTAATGAAAAACAAATCTGGAAATATATAGGAGATCGTTTAGTGTCTTGGGTTTCAAGTCCTCATTTTGAAGTTTCTGTAACACATTAAAGAAATCTTTCATCTTATTGTCTTTGTTTTTTAAGTGGACAGTTTATAAATTTGGTCCATAAATAATAAAAATAGAGACTTACGTGTCAACCGAAATAAGCTTCTTTTCCCCATTTTCAGAGGCATAGTTCCAAGTTGTTTCAGTAATTCCAATGTAATAATGCTTATCTTTTGCCCAGGCTAGGGTACCATATAAAAACAGAAAAACACTAAGCATCAAAATCTTCATTTTTTTCCCCTTTTGGAGCCTGAGGAGCAATGATGTGAAGCCAGAAGCAGGCAATTTTATAAATAAGGCTTTCTTCCTTTATTTGCTTGATTGACACAACTTAATGTTGCACAAGAGTAAATTGTTTCATTAAAGCAAATATTTTCCAATTCAGTTCAGTTCTGGTAAACCTCTCCCCCTCAAAAAAAAAAAGGTCTTGGTTGCCAGGCTTCTCTGACTACAAATAAAAAGTCAACAGTTATTGTTGGAGGCATTAGTGTGTGTATAACTCTGTGCTTTTTTCCATTCAGTGTGTAAATTCCAGGAGGGCAGAGAACATCTCTAAATACTCCCTTTGTGTCTCCAACAATATGCCACAGTACAGTGCCTTGCATCTAGTGCACGCATAGTATATCAGGAAAAGGATTATGTAAAATGAGTCAAAACAAGTATCTCTTTACTACATTCCTCTTGTTAATGAGAGGGATACATTCTGAGAAATGCAGTCTTAGGTGGTTTCATTTTTGTGTCAGTAGCACAGAGTGCACTTAAGCAAACCTAGATACTGTAGTCTACTGCACACTCAGGCTGTGTGGTATAGCCCTTTGCTTTGCTTCTAGGCCACAAGCCTGGGCAGTATGTAACTATATGACATACTGTAGGCAGTTGTAACACAGTGATATTTGTGTACCTAAATATATCTAAACATAGAAAAGATACACTGAAAATATGGTGTTACAATCTTATGGGACTGCCATCTTCTATGCAGTTCGTCATTGATTGAAATACCACTTTGTGGTGCATTTGACTGTGTTTCTAAAAATCTAACAAAAATTTAACTGAACCCTTAAGATATGAATATAAGCTATAAGCGTGATATGTAGCACGTCACATTTAAGTAGCCAAAAATAAGAATTTCATTTTGAACAATTTATCTATTCTATGAGTTTTGAACACATCTGCATAGAAATTTTACCAGAAATCATTCTGTATTGCTACATACAAATAATAAGCAGAGCATAACAGGGATTGCTCATTTGATTTAATCAGCAGATAAACCAGTCATACATAAGCCTATCTTCAAAGGCAAATATTAGTCTTAACAAATAGAAGTTACCCTAGTTTATTATTAACCTGGGGTTTCTCTCATTGAAGTGGACACAGATTTTAGGGTGGAAGACTTTTTAGTAAAGCCTTGTCTTTAGTCAAGATGTTATCTGAAAGTATAAAATGTGTTTTTTTAGTGGAAGAAAATTCTGATGACGACAGTTGACATTTTGTATTAGCATAAATTTTTCCTCAGTTACCTCAGAGCATTGTGTATTTGCCAAAAGCTATATGTTGAAATGGATTGGTATAGGAGAAAGCGTTTTGATATTTGAACCATTCATTCATTTAGCAAATATTATTAAATGAGCCTCATCGTGTACCAGGCTCTATTCTAGGCACTGTGGATACAGCAATGAATGAAACACTCACCATCATGAAACTTACATTCTACTTGGGGAAAGCGAACTGCACACAAATGAGAAGTGAAATATACAATATGGTAATGGAAATATACATAATGGTAAGCATTATGGAGAGAAATCAATCAGGGAAGGAGAATAGTGAGTTCTGGATGAAAACAGCGGAATGAAGATCAAAATCTTAGGGCTAAGCTGAACCTATAATCCTAGCACTTTGGGAGGCTGAAGTGGGAGAATTGCTTGAAGCTAGGAGTTTGAGACCAGCCCGGGCAACATAGCAAGATCTTGTCTCTACAAAAAATATAAAAGTTAACCAGGCATGGTGTCACATGCCTGTAGTCCCAAGCTACTTGGGAGGCTGAGGAGAGAGGATCATTTGAGCCCAGGAGGTCGAGGCTGTGGCGAGCCTGGGCGATAGAGTGAGACCCCAACTCAAAAACTGATAATAATAATAATAATAAATCTGATGCTACCATGTGACCTCACACAGAATGCTTCCACTCAGCTTTGGTTTCCTCAGCTGTAAATCTCAGGCTAATTGAAATACCCCATGTTAAAACAGAGGAGGAATTTCTCCTACCAGCTGTAATGTTTTTAATGAAATGTCCTGACACAGAAAACCAAGTCTCAGTGTCCAGGATGGCCCAAGGCCTCCTTCTAGAGTAGCCTTGAACGATATGCCCTCATGTCCGTCCGAGAAGATAGGAGAGGGCCAAAATCTGCTAGAGGGCTAGATTTCACTGGCCAAGCCCTGTGCCTTGCAAGAAGCTGCTTTCCCCCCAGTGTTCCACACAGACAAGGGGCATCTTTCAGCAGTTCATCCTCCCCAGGGCGTGGGAGAGAGGCTTTTTTTAACTGGCATGAAGCCACTTTATGAGCCAGCAGCTGTCCCAGTCATTTCCTTCTCATTTTCTACTCAGTGCTCAAACTCAGTCCCAATCCGGTGGGACGGAAGGATGATTATCAGAGCACAGTAACCACCCCCAAAATCACTTCTTCCAGCAGATTCTACCAATCAACATCCAACAAACAAGGAATAACTCCAACAAACCATCCTGCTCAAATGATTACTGAAGGCTCATCTTGGTGGGCAAATGAGGTGGTTAAATAAGAACACCCTGATTGGTGCCAGCGAATGTTTGATGATGTAACACAGGAAGGGTCACGAAGTCCGTATTTCTTTCCTGTTTTTTGGCGGTTACTCTTCCCGTCAAAAGGCATGTGACTGCTGGGTGGCAGGAAGTGGGGAGAATTCTCTGAGCCTTAGGACGATTGCAATATGAGGGAGAAGGCGCTGAAGGCTAGTAAGCAGCCAGCCATTGGCAGAGTCATTTAACACTGCAAATCTCATCACAGTGACTCCAGAGCTGGCGCTTAAAGTGCACTTTAAATAATGCTGCAATTGAGAATTTTCTGCACTTGAGATATGCACCGAGAAGGGGGTGAGACAGGAAAGCGTAGAAGGCACCGAAGAAACCCAACAGACCTAGAGCATTGCAAGAAAGAGAAGAGAGGAACCTAGACTGCCTCAATTTCAGTTTCCTTAGCTGTAAATCTCAGGTTAATTAAAATACCCCATGTTAAAACAGTAGAGGAATTTCTCCCACCAGCTGTAAGATTCTTAATATTGAATTCCTTATGCCATTAAGAAAAAGGAAAATTTTAAGCTGTCCTCTTTTCTTTCTTTTTTTTGAGCCAGGATCTCACTCTGTTGCCCAGGCTGGAGTGCAGTGGCATGATCACAGCTCACCATAGCCTCAACCTCCTGGGTTTAAGTGATCCTTCCGCCTCAGCCTCCTGAGTAGCTGGGACTACAGGTGCATGCCACCATGCTTGGATAATTTTTGTATTTTTTTTTTTTGTAGAGATGAAGTCTTGCTATGTTTCCCAGGCTGGTCTCGAACCCTTGGTCTCAAGCAGTCCTCTTGCCTTGGTCTTCTTGGGATTACGGGCGTGAGCCAGGCACCTGGCCACAGCTGTCCTCTTAGCTATGCCTGTCAACAGGTTTTTGCCGCAACATCCTGGGGTTTACTTTTGTAGTTTGTTATAAATAATTACTATATGTCTACACTAACTCTTTAGTAACCTGAGTAAAAATACAGAGCATGTGTGTTCATCATTTTCCACAATTTCTTTTTTCTTGTTGTCCAAGATATCTGGACTGGGTGAGTTTGTTGTTGTTGTTGAGTTGGAGTCTCACTCTGTCACCCAGGCTGGAGGGCAGTGGCATGCTCCCAGCCACCACAGCCTTGACCTACTGGCTATCTATCCTTCCACCTCAGCCTTACAAGTAGCTGAAACTACAGGCACGCACCACCATGCTTGGCTAATTTTTTTATTTATTGTAGAGATGAGGTCTTGCCAATTGGCCAGACTGGTCTCGAACCCACGGGCTCAGGCAGTCCTCTCACCTCAGCCTCCCAAACAAAGTGCTGGGATTATAGGCGTGAGCCATCGCACCCGGCCTTGAACTAGGTGAGTTTTACCTGCGTTTAGCAATCAAGAGTCTGAGGCTGAAGATGGCTAAAATCAAGGAAGCAACCTCTCTGACAGAATATTACTGTGGTGTACTTCTGCCCGGCAGGATGGAGTCTCTCCTTACTGCCACTATTGCTGTTTGCACCTTCTAGTTTGATCCATGAGAAACTGGCTCTCAGCCTCTACTAACAGAAAGATGAAGAAACAAACCACTAAGGACTATCCTTCACTTTGAGACAGCAGGAGACCCAAAGTATCAAATAGCAGGTCACTTGGTCCATGACCAATCACTGCTGCTTTCCTTTTCACAGGACATTGTGTAACTCTGGAATTTTCGCGGTGAGGCCTGGTCACACACAGTCTTTGATAATGAGTACACTGACTTGTCCTAGCACACCATGAGCACTGCCAGTCCTCAGCCCCCCTACCGTCAGCTAGTGACTATTCAGGGAATGAGCTCTCAGATAGAACTTCGGTCACACCATCCCCCTTCAGCAGGTCAAGGCCCTTGCTCACCAGCTCCTGGGGTGTAAAATAGTTACAGGCAAGGAAGGAGAGAAAGCCCAGACTCTAGCATACTGAAAGCCTTGACGATGGTGAAGTCTATAGGACTATGGGAAAGGGGATTTATTTATTTATTATTATTATTATTTCAGTTGCAATCTCCGTCTGTCACCCAGGCTGGAGGACAGTGGCATGATCACGGCTCACTGCAGCCTTGACTTCCCAGATTCAGGCGATCCTTCTGCCTCAGCCTCCCGAGTAGCTGGGACTACAGGCATGTGCCACTACACCAAATTTTTTAACTTTTTGTAGAGACGCAGTCTGTTATGCTGCCCAGGCTGGTCTCAAACTCCTGGACCCAAGAGAGCCTCCTGCCTCAGCCTCCCAAAGTGCTGGGATGAAAGGCGTGAGCCACCACACCCAGCCAAGGGGCTTTTTGTTAATGGTATAAGGAATTCAATTAATCCTTCATTTTTGTTCTCTCACTACCTTGAATGATATAAAAATCAAAGCATGTGACTTATTAACGATGAAAGAGAACCACAAAAATGGAATTTTTTGTAAAGATTAAGGAATAATTTATTCAGCAGTTTGCACAGAACATCAGTGTGCCCCTTTCTGGAAATGCTCTCCTTCCTTGACATGCCTGACCCATTTTCTCTTGTTTCTACTCCATGTTGATGTTATACACACTGCATAACTCTTAACAGTCTGGTTTGGGCCCAGTCTTAATTGTAAAAGGTGACTGAGTGACAACACAGAGGGGCCAATGCCTTTGAAAGGAAAGCTTAGTGCCAATCACAGCTTTGTTGGAATGCACACAGCTGACTGTTCTTCCATTCACCTCCACTTGCTAGACCGCACTTCACACATCTGTTTAGTCACAGCTGGGAACTGCATTCTTCAGTGAATGAACTGATTGATTAATTAAGCATATTCTTGGTGATATTTGGGCAACACCTCTTGCAGTTTCTTAAATAATATTCTGTTGACTAGCACAGAAGCGAAGACCTGAATCCCACATGTTCTCACTCATAAATGGGCCCTGATCACCGGTCACATGAGCACCAGATGCTGGACACAGCTAGGGGAGGCAGGAAGAAAAGAGGACCACATGGCAACACACCGAGTACCTGGTCCACTATCGGGGGAAGAGGACCTGCTAGAAGCCCAGACTTCAGCTGTTTGCAATTTACTTATGTAGTAAATCCTCACATGGACCCCACAACTCTAAAAAAAAAAGGAGAGGCTGCTTGCATTCCTATTTTATAGCTTTTTAATTAGCTTCAGTATCAAAGAAAGAAGTATCGATGTTAATTAATTTTGTCTAACATTATTATACTAGCAGTACTCGTCGATTAATGCTTGTTTGTTTGTTTTGCTGGTGTTTTGTTTTTTTAGTTGAAGTCTGCGTGGCCCAGGCTGGAGAGCAGGGGCATGCTCACGGCCACCCCAGTGTTTACCTGCTGGGCTCAGACGATCCTTCCGCCTCAGCCTTCCAAGTAGCTGGAACTATAGGTGCGCACTACCATGTCCAGCTTATTTTTTCATTTGTTGTAGAGACGAGGTTTCACCAAGCTGCCCAGGCTGGTCTTGAACCCTTGAGCTTAGGCAATCCTCTTGCCTTGGCCTCCCAAAGTGCTGGGATTACAGGCTGAGCCACCAAGCCCGGCCTAATAGATTAATTTTTAAAAGTTCTCTGCTGTTGGCACATATTGGAGTATTTTAGGGTGAAATAATCTGAAGTCAGAAATGTGCTACCTAATCCTGAGTTGTAACCCACAGATTTAAAATAAAAAATTAATAAATTCCCTGGGGGAAACGCCCCACCACCCCCCCCCCCCCCCCCCGCAGAAATGTGCTTGTTAAAATCCAGGTATTCATGTGTACTTGCACAGCTAAGAAGTTAGAAAGCAAAAAGAGTGAAAAATCTAACTTTGGCTCCAATTCTCGGGTTGAACCCTTCTGTTTAACCAAGCCTTGCATTCACATATTCTTATTGTCTAAAGCAGAGGCTGCCTGTTAGCCAACCCACGAGACATTTCTCCTTTTTTTATACTTAAAAGTATTTTATTATTTATTTATTTAAAAATTGTAGTCGCTTTAGTGGGTACGCATGGTTTTCGGTTACATGGTTGCATTGTATAGTGGCAAAGAAGTCCCCCACCTGTGCACGTTGTATTCAGTAGGGGTTACCCTGGGTACTGGTCTGAAGACTGTTAGGAATTGGGCCACACAGCAGAGGTGAGTGGCAGGCAAGGGAGTAAAACCTTATCTGTATCTACAGTCGCTCCTGTTACTTGCATAGCTGCCTGAGCTCTGCCTCCTGTCAGATCAGATTAGATTCTCATAGGAGCACAAACTCTGTTGTGAGCTGTGCATGTGAGGGATCTAGGTTGCGAGCTCCTTATGAGAATCTAATGCCTGATGATCTGAGGTGGAGCTCAGGTGGTGATGCTAGCGCTGGGGAGTGCAGATTTACGTTAGCAGTGAGGTTTGCCTGCACAGAGACCATCATAAATCAATGGCTTACAGACTCAAATCAAAACCCTATCAGTGAGTGGCAAGTTAGTCGATGTACTTTACTTGCACCACTGCATCTGGTGGCAGGCTTTAAATCTGAATCTGACACTTGATTTAGTTCACACGTGGCCCACCCATTATTTTCTTTACCACTCCTGTCTGCACTTTTTTAAAAAATGGGGAGTTGTATATTATTTCACTATATATTACAATGTAATAATAATAATAGAAATAAAGTGCACAACAAGTGTTATGCACTTGAATCATCCTGAAACCCTCCCTCCTCCCCAACCCTGGTCCATGGAAAATTTGTCTTCCATGAAACCTCTCCCTGATGCCAAAAAGGTTGGAGACCATTGCCAGAGGTGACTTTTCACCTTTCTCCCCACTTCCTACTTTCCCTCTTCTGAATCTCCAGTGTCCATTATACCATTCTCTATGCCTTTGCAGACCCTTAATTTTGTTCCCACTTACAGGTGAGAACATGTGGTGTTTGGTTTCTCACTCTCTGCAAGACATTTTTAATCCCTTCTCTCTTTTTACTTCCATTCTAAAGACTGTAAAAGTTATTTTCCAATCTCCCTTGCAGTTACAGATAGCCAGAGAAAAATAGTTTTGATGAACAAGACAAAGACAATAATTGGTTGGGGGCTCCTCAGAAGACTTTTTGCTTTCCTGGTAAAAGGGGAAGAAGATGTGATTAGTACTACCCCATTTTTCACCTTCTCTGCCTTCAATGTAGAAGTAATATTTTAGAAGCCTGGTACAGTGGCTCGGGCCTATAATCCCAGTACTTTGGGATTCCAAGGTGGAAGGATCGCGAGCTTAGGATTTTGAGACCAGCTTAGGCAACATGGAGAGGACTCGTTTCCACAAAAAATGATCTGAGTGTGGTGGTGCCCACCTTTAGTCCCAGCTACTTGGGAGCCTGAGGCAGGAAGATCACCTGAACCCAGGAGATCGAGGTTACAGTGAACCATGATTGTGCCACTGCCTTCCAGCCCGAGTAACAAAGTGAGACCTGGACTCAAAAAACAACAACAGGCTGGGCTCGGTGGCTCAGCCTGTAATCCCAGCACTTTAGGAGGCTGAGGCACGTGGATTGCCTGAACTCGCGGGTTCAAGACCAGTCCCGGCAATTTGGCAAGACCTCGTCTCTACAATAAGTGAAAAACTAAGCCGGGCTTGGTGGCTCAGCCTGTAATCCCGTGCTTTGGGAGGCTGAGGTGAGTGGATTGCCTGAGCCTGCGGGTTCAAGACAGACCCACCTGGACAACTTGGCGAGACCTCAACTCTACAATAAATCAAAAAATTAGCCGGGTGTGGTAGCACGCGCCTATAGTTCCAGCTACTGGGAAGGCTGAGGTGGAAGGATCGCGGGAGCCCGGCAGGTTGAGGCTGGGGTGGCCGTGAGTGTGCCACTGCACTCCAACCTGGGCAACGGAGTGAGACTCCAACTCACAAAACAACAACAAGGAATCTGGAGCCTCAGTAGCTATCGGCAACCATGTAGCAACAGTCATGAGAAAAATACCAAGCGAATTAAGGACATTGGCCTTCTTATCTTTAAATTGCAGGAATCTTAGCAGCCACCTACTTCCAAACTTTTGTTGTTATTGTTCAATAAGACAAATAGCATTACTAATTCTCTCTTAGCTGGGTTTTCTATTGCTCATGGTAAAACACATCCTGATGTTAGTATTGCCAGATACTAGGTCAGAACATCTGTTTCCCCCTCTCCTTTGTTTTTGGTTATGGAAAACTGGAGATTATACATTCTGTAAACTGCAGTCTTCCAATCCTAAGGCACAGTGTAATCTATGGATTTACAATTCAAAGACTGATTTAAATACTTACCCATGCTATGAGAATTTCATTTTTTAAATATTTACGAATGTTGCAGTCTAGGGTAAAGTCTTGTGTTGCACACTCTTGGGATTTTTTTCCGAAATTGAGCAAGACTTCAATTTGCTCTGGCTCTCTCTGTCCCTCTTGCCTACCCTGCTGTGTTTGTTGAAAGCCTTGTTACCCCACTACATGCACAGGACAGACAACACTTCAGTGTCAGTTTACAGAAATAGGAAGCAGCTCACACACACAAAACTTGCTAAGAAAACTTTTATTTCAAGCTAGTTTTCCTGATCCATTGTCATCAAAGTCTTTGGCTGGCCCCTCCCAGACTCTTCCATCCCTGGAATTTTCCTTCTTCAGCAGTTTCATCCCTGCTTGTGGCCTTGACAATGTTCATGCAGAAAAGAAAGTTTCCAAAGTTAACTTGATCTTAGATAATAGCATGCAGTTAGTTCTAAGTTAGAATATTATACTAAAATGATTACATACATTTAAGGAATAAACACAAAATTTATGTACTTTTTTTTTTTTTAAGAGATGAGTTCTTGCTATGTTGCCCAGGCTGATCTAAAATTCCTGGGCTCAAGCAATCCTCCCCCCTTGGCCTCCCAAAGGCCTGGGATTATAGGAGTGAACCACTACGCCCAGCCTATATAAGTCTTAAGAACATCCTTAATAAAAGGTACCTGCACATGTATGTTTATCGTAGCAAGAACATGGAACCAACCATGCTGCCCATCAAAAGAGGACTGGATTTTAAAAATGTGGTACATATACATGATCGAATATTATGCAGCCATAAAGAAGAGCAAAATCATGAAATTCACAACAACCTGGATGGACTTAGCGTCTATAATACTGAGTGATCTTTCACAGAAACAAAGAACTGAGTATCCCATGTTCTCACTCATAAGCGAACCTTGAGCAATTATCATAATACTATAAGAAAAGGATTGTCAGTAGTGGGAAACTGCCAGGAGGGGGGCGGGAAAGCAGGATTGACAGTAGTGGGAATCTGCCTGGGGAAGAGGGGGGCACACCTCATCAACATGGTACTTGCATAATGAACATTTGTATACCTAACCCTGAATTGTACCCCACATCTTTAAAATAAAAAAATTAAAAGTTAAACAAAGGGAACATCCTTAAAATGACTACCATCACTTTTGACACAAAACATTTACTTATTAAGCTAATAGCAACATCAATGTCACCCTTCTATGGGGACAGATGATCTGTAGACCCAAGCAAGTTTGGCTTTATATTTTTCTTTTCTTTTCAGATACTATTTTTGTAGACTACTTCTTTTGCCACTCATTATGGTAGTATAAGCATTAAAAATTTTAAGGCATGATTTTAAAACCTGGAAAGTACTTTATATGATAAATGCAACCAAACTTATAGGAGATAATTTGTTTGTTTTCAGTGTGGTGATACATTTTTTTCTACATTGTTGCTAATCTTCTGAGATCAATTGCCAGGTGGAATTGCTTAGTCAAAATATTGGGATCGTTATTTAGGGTCTTTCAAGATCTGTGGAGACAGTTTATATACTTCTGCCAAAGTATATGCAAAATATACCCTATCTCACCACATAGTTATTGATACTATCATTTTTTAAAAAGAAATATTTGACAAAATATATTTTAAAAGGTATCATATTGTTGCTAAAATGTGAATTTTTTTTTTTTTTTTTTGAGTTGGAATCTCACTCTGTTACCCAGACTGGAGTGCAGTGGCCGCTCCCGGCCATCGCAGCCTCAACCTGCTGGGCTCCAGAGATCCTTCTGCCTCAGCCTTCCAAGTAGCCAGAACTACAGGCGTGCGCTACCCTGCCTGGTTAATTTTTTATTTATTGTAGAGATGAGGTCTTGCCAAAATGCCCAGGTGGGTTTCGATCCCGCAGGCTCAGGCATTCTACTCACCTCAGTCTCCCAAAGCGTGGGATTACAGACTGAGCCACCGAACCCAGCTAAAATGTGATTTTTAGGTGATTTGTTTACTGTCAAGTTTGGATATTTTTATAGGTTCAAAGACATTTGTTTTTGATATTCTGTGAATTGTCTATCCAAACCTTGTATGCATATATTATGTGAATTTGAAAATTCCATTTAATTCTAGAATAACTTTTATCAGATCATAAATAGTTACCTAAGTTTCATAAAGAAAATAAAACTAAAGTATCTCAGTCATCTCTAAACAGTAATCTTTGAGTGAATGAGTTGTGTATCACATTATGTAAATGCACAATGGATTAAATGAACCTTATATAAACACTGCATTTATTTTAATAGGATCACTTCTAATAAATTTGGTCAATACTGCTTACCTTTTTTTTCCAAGTACAGTGTAAGTGCTTTCCATTCCAGCAGTAATGTGATCACTAACATGGCAATGAAATAACCAGATTCCAGCATCTCTTGGATACATTTTCACAGTTCCACAGACCCCAACAGGAAGGTCAAAAACGTCAGATCGATACCGGCCAGAGTCCTTAACAAGGAGATGATACACCATGACATGTCTTATAAAGTATATTAGTCATTTGCATATCTTACCATTTGCTATAACTTGCCAATTCTAAACTCTTGAAATGATACCATTAGGAAATTATCATTTTGTAGCCTCCACTATAAAAATTGATTCTGGTAAGAATCATCCAATGGATGCTTTTTAAAACTACAAGATGAAAAGTTGCTGGAAAATAAAATATACATCTAAAAGCACTTCAGCCGGGCTTGGTGGCTCAGCCTGTAATCCCATGCTTTGAGAGGCTGAGGAGAATAGATTGCCTGAGCCTGAGGGTTCGAGACCCGCCCAGGCAACTTGGCGAGACCTCATCTCTACAATAAATCAAAAAATTAGCCGGGCGTGGTAGCGCGCGCCTGTAGTTCCAGCTACTCGGAAGGCTGAGGCCGAAGGATCGCTGGAGCCCAGCAGGTCGAGGCTGCGGTGGCCGGGAGCGTGCCACACTGCACTCTAGTCTGGGCGACAGAGTGAGACTCCAACTCAAAAAATAAAATAAAATAAAAGAACTTCACAGATTACTTGTTAATTGTCAGAGGAAGCAGATACTTTTAAATTAAGAGAAATGGTATACATCACTGTGTACTTGTGTTGTATTTCCTGGTCTACAACTCCTAAAATCCTTGGAATCATCAAAGTGATAAAGGTCTTTTTATAAGTGAAGGAATTGACTGATGGCTGGAAGCCCATGGGAAGATTTAGGAAGAGGACTGGTCACTGGAAAGACCAAGGGTTGTGGTGAGCCAAAATTGCGCCATTGCACTACAGCCTGGATGACAGAGTTAAGACTCCAACTCAAAAAAAAAATAAAATAAAATAAAAGAACTTCACAGATTACTTGTTAATTGTCAGAGGAAGCAGATACTTTTAAATTAAGAGAAATGGTATACATCACTGTGTACTTGTGTTGTATTTCCTGGTCTACAACTCCTAAAATCCTTGGAATCATCAAAGTGATAAAGGTCTTTTTATAAGTGAAGGAATTGACTGATGGCTGGAAGCCCATGGGAAGATTTAGGAAGAGGACTGGTCACTGGAAAGACCAAGGGTTGTGGTGAGCCAAAATTGCGCCATTGCACTACAGCCTGGATGACAGAGTTAAGACTCCAACTCAAAAAAAAAATAAAATAAAATAAAAGAACTTCACAGATTACTTGTTAATTGTCAGAGGAAGCAGATACTTTTAAATTAAGAGAAATGGTATACATCACTGTGTACTTGTGTTGTATTTCCTGGTCTACAACTCCTAAAATCCTTGGAATCATCAAAGTGATAAAGGTCTTTTTATAAGTGAAGGAATTGACTGATGGCTGGAAGCCCATGGGAAGATTTAGGAAGAGGACTGGTCACTGGAAAGACCAAGGGTTGTGGTGAGCCAAAATTGCGCCATTGCACTACAGCCTGGATGACAGAGTTAAGACTCCAACTCAAAAAAAAAATAAAATAAAATAAAAGAACTTCACAGATTACTTGTTAATTGTCAGAGGAAGCAGATACTTTTAAATTAAGAGAAATGGTATACATCACTGTGTACTTGTGTTGTATTTCCTGGTCTACAACTCCTAAAATCCTTGGAATCATCAAAGTGATAAAGGTCTTTTTATAAGTGAAGGAATTGACTGATGGCTGGAAGCCCATGGGAAGATTTAGGAAGAGGACTGGTCACTGGAAAGACCAAGGGTTGTGGTGAGCCAAAATTGCGCCATTGCACTACAGCCTGGATGACAGAGTTAAGACTCCAACTCAAAAAAAAAATAAAATAAAATAAAAGAACTTCACAGATTACTTGTTAATTGTCAGAGGAAGCAGATACTTTTAAATTAAGAGAAATGGTATACATCACTGTGTACTTGTGTTGTATTTCCTGGTCTACAACTCCTAAAATCCTTGGAATCATCAAAGTGATAAAGGTCTTTTTATAAGTGAAGGAATTGACTGATGGCTGGAAGCCCATGGGAAGATTTAGGAAGAGGACTGGTCACTGGAAAGACCAAGGGTTGTGGTGAGCCAAAATTGCGCCATTGCACTACAGCCTGGATGACAGAGTTAAGACTCCAACTCAAAAAAAAAATAAAATAAAATAAAATACAATACAATAAAATAAAGAGCTAAATATGCAATTCCTTAATTGCACCTGATATATCATAGATGGCACATATTAAACTTCTGGCTTGGCCATTTCCTTTGCAGCCCTGTGATCTTGCCAAGCCGCCCCATAACTGGTTTACAGAGCACCCCAGTCTTTAAATGGAGCTGCTGAATACTTACCTTGTATTCATAGCTATGACCATGAAAGTGAACTGTGTGCAGGTCAAAACGACTCCCCGTGCCACACACATACCAATTTACTTCATCCCCGATGTAAAATCTTAAACCTTGGTTGTTTCCAAATATTCTTCCATTAATTCCTATGAGGGATTGGCAGGAGACAGTTTATTATATTCAACAAGGATTTAAAATAATGTGAATTTTTTTTAACATCTTATGGGAAATATCATGGATGTTTTCAGAGGACTTTAAAGCCGGTCTGACAAAGCTGTTAAACATGACCAAGTCATCCATTCATGAATGTGTCTAATTCTAGAGAGTTGTGTTTTGTTGTTGTTTTTTTTGCCTCAGATATGAGGCACTGACTTTTGTTAAAATAATTGGTTGAAACCAGGCTCGGTGGCTCAGCCTGTAATCCCAAGCCTTTGGGAGGCTGAGGTGAGTGGATTGCCTGAGCCCGCGGGTTCGAGACCCGCCTGTAGAGAGACCTCATCTCTACAATAAATCAAAAAAATTAGGTGGGTGTGGTAGCACGTGCCTATAATTCCGGCTACTCGGAAGGCTGAGGTGGAAGGATCGCCGGAGCCCAGCAGATCGAGGCTGCGGTGGCCGGGAGCGGCCACTGCACTCCAGTCTGGGCTACGGAGTGAGACTCCGACTCAAAAACAACAACAACAGCAACAACAAAATAATAATAATAATAATTGGGTTGAACTCGACTATTTCACAACAAAGGATACTTGAATTGGTAGATGCTTAAATATGTCTATATGTTTAAAATTCTCACTAGAGGCTTAGATTATTAAGAGCGTGCATTCCCATTTAACAGCCCCAAGTCAGACCCTCATGATCTGCCACTTGTATTTCTGGAATGACCATTTGCCTGCGGGCCAAGGCCCCTCTAATCCTCTACCTCCAAAGGGTAATTGGAATAAAATATTAACATTTAAATAACATATGTGTGTGCATATATATACCCACATACGTGTCCTCTTTTTACTTTTCTATTTGTGTGCATTTTTAACAACGTATAAAATGCAGTGTTACAGTGGTGCAGGTATATAATTTATAACGATGTATCTGTGGAGGTTGTCTGTAATGCTTTTAGCTAGAGATCTAGAGATATTTGGCATTGTCATAACTTGTGAGGAGTTGTTACTGGCATCTAGTGAGTATAGGGTATGGATAATATACAGTGGAAAAACTAGGAGACACTATTCTAGTCCAGTGCTTCTTGATGCTGGTAAAATTCGGGTTCTAAAGCCGGGCTCGGTGGCTCAGCCTGTAATCCCGCACCTCTGGGAGGCTGAGGTGAGTGGATTGCCTGAGCCTGCGGGTTCGAGACCCGCCTGGGCAACTTGGCGAGACCTCATCTCTACAATAAATCAAAAATTAGCCAGGTATGATAGCGCGCACCTGTAGTTCCAGCTACTTGGAAGGCTGAGAGGGAAGGATCGCCGGAGCCCAGCAGGTCAAGACTGCGATGTCTGGGAGCAGCCACTGCACTCCAGTCTGGGCGACAGAGTGAGACTCCAACTCAAAAAAAAAAAAAAAATTCGAATTCTGATTTAGTAGGTCTGTGGGGCCTGAAATTCTGTATTTCTGTATTTTATTTTATTTTTTAGTCAGAGTCTCACTCTGTCACCCAGGCTGGAGTGCAGTGGCATGATCATGACTCACTGCAGTTCAACTTCCTGGGCTCAGGTGATCCTTTTGCCTATTTCCCAAATAGCTGGGATTACTGGCGTGCACCACCATGCCTGGCTAATTGTTTAAATTTTTTGTAGAGATGAGGTCTTGCTAAGTTGCCTAGGCTGATTTTGAACTCCTGGGCTCACGTGATCCTTGCACCTTTGCCTCCTGAAGTGCTGGGATTACAGACACAAGCACTGCACCCAGCCTAGGGAGCTTATATTTTTTTTT